TTTTTATGGAAAGTTTTCAAATTTTTCAAATTTTTTCCTGGATAAGTCTTGAAATTTTCAGGAAAAAAAATCGAATTTTCAAATACTCACGTAGGGTAAGCGGCCCGCGGTGTAGGGTGTGGAGTAACAGTGGTGTCGGAACTGGCGCCCTGGTGTTGGCTATGGGAACGTCGCCGTGGACGCGCAGCAGGACATATATCGCGCGGGGTCATTAACCCCCACCACTCTGCGGTCTTTAAGCTGGCCAAAAGCAATGGGATTTCTTTTTTTTAATACCCAGTTGTTGTCACTTTCAATTCAATTTTTGTTGTTTTTGTGTTCCCCTGATCAAAGATGCTCAATTTTTGGTCTGTTTCAAATGCCCGATTTTTGGCATCCATTTTAGGAATGGCGTTCAAAGACACCAATTGGCATTTAAAAGAAATGCTAAAACAGAAGCGGCATTGAAAGTACCCACGGACTTTTCAGTGACTACGGCAATTTTGTAGAAGGTGTGCAGTCATATATAGAGGCACTTTTTGGCATTTGAGATTGATATTCTCCTCTTTTTCTTTCCAAACGTCACTCTTGTATGGACCGTTCCCATAGTTGGTGCACATTGACTACGACTACGATATGTCGCACTTACACTCACGCTCACGTCTTAATAAAATTTTACGTTCGTTGTTTGTGTCCCTTTTTTCGAGCAGTTTCGCGCGGCCCGCGGCCTCACCAGGTACCAAATGAGTGTGTGGGGGCGTTTGTGTTGAGTGTGACGCCTGTTGGCCGAAGCCTGTTGGCCCCATGTTAATCGACGATGTCTAATCGTTTACCATACAATTACCATACCGGCGTCAGTACAGGCCGCCTCAAAAGCGTTAAAACGCGCGCGCTACACCCTGGAGGAGTGCGCGCCAATCTCGACGTGTTGTTGTTGTTGTTGTCCTGTCGCGAAATGCATGAACACGTGACAACCGCAGAGCACACGACTGCGCGAACTTTCAGGTCGTGCGTGTGAAGTAAGTCGTCAGTCGTTGGTATAGAGATGTATTGTGGAATGTCGTGGTTGACCACAGTTGGACTGCGTGACTTTTAACGCGAGTGCGTGCGCAATTCAAACTTATGCTCATGACGCAATAATTATTGTTTTAATTTGAATTATTATTATTTTTGGGTCGGAGTGTACGCGTGCGTTTTGCACGTGGCGGTACCCGCCGCGTGTTTTGGCCGAGTGTGCTTGTGTGTCGGCGGCTCTGCCACCGGGCATTAGTGTCGACCGAGCACATTGTGTGTGTGTGTGTGTGCGCACGCGCAGTGCGGGCGTGTGGTGCCAATGGGCATGATAGAGACTCTGATACCCATTTTAATTTTCGAACTAATTTATTAAATAATTGGTATTTTGATTTTTATATTTTTTTTGCCTTTGTGTGTAATATACCTCACGCGATATTAATGTCCCATTGCGCTACTATACAAATTTCCCTTATTTTTTCCGAGTTGAATTTGAATTAGTTTTTTTTTTTCGGTGTACGATGCAGGTGTCGCTTTAATGTAGCGGACAGGGCCCGCGGGGCTGCTGCGCTGGGCCTTTGTGTCAGAGGAGATGGGCCTGGCGGGGACACCGCGGCCCGCGGGCGGCACAGGAGCCGCGCGCAGCGTGTTGTGGTGGACACATCAGGCGATCTGGCGGGCCGAGTCGGGCCGAGCCGGACCGAGCCGAGCCGAGCCGGGGGCCTGGCTGGGCAGCGACCAGGGCTTATGACACGGTCACACAGGATAGCCAAACGGCCTTGCCTTTTGGGCGCTCTTATTGGTTTGATATACAAGATGTATTTAGCAGCTGCCCCGCCCCGCCACGCCCCGCCACGACACAAGCCGCTATCTCTCTGGCTGGTGGGTGCGTGGTAGTGGCCTGATCGGTCACCGGGGCCCCCCTAGTGCCGGCTTGAAGGGTCCCCGCAAGTGCTTTCCCCCCCTCCTCTACCCTTCCCTGAACCGCACCGCGACCCCGCACACGCCTCCACGCCGTGAGTGTGCGCTCCTGTGCCACCGCCGCGCCGCCCCCACACCGCCCCCACGCCGTCCCCGCGCCGCCCCTGCGCCGCCCCCGTGCCGCCCCTGCGCCGCCCCCTGCGCCGTCCCCACGCCGCCCCGTGCCGCCCCCGCGCCGCCCCCGCGCTGCCCCCGCGCCGCCCCCGCGCTCTTGGGGTGCATGGCGCCCGTGCGAGAGAGCGCGACATAGCGACACTTCTCAAGGTCGCGGTCGGCGGCCGCTGGCGAGCAGCAGGAAGAGGAGGAGCAGGTCCTCGACGCGCGGCCCGCGAGCTGGCCCGGCCCGGCCGGCGACAACGACCTGGCGACGCGACGACGAGTACCAACCACCACCCGAGTCCCTGCCGACACCGGGAGAGAGAGGAGGGTCTGCCCTCTCCCTATCTCTTAGCACGTGGCGCTCACGGCGTGGGGTGGCCGGGTCGCGGGAGGGGCGCGGGAGGAACTCTCCACGGCTGTGTATCTTTTCTTTCTCCTCGACGGGCCCGACATGGATGCTGCTGCTGCCGCTTCTGCAGCTGCCGCCGCAGCCGCCGCCACTGCTCTGCTTGTCTTGCTTCGCGCACCCTCCCGGAGCGGGAGGGGGACGGGAGCGGGGAAAGGTGACGGGGGTCCGAAAGGGGGAAGGAGGGAGGGTGGAGGGTGGGGGGAATAATTGAAGTACAATAGCACACACACACATGTTGTGTGTGTCGGCTCCGCTATGCGGACTCAAGGTGAAGGCTATCTCGTCTCATCCTATGGGGACAGGGGGAAAAGGGGGGGGGGGGCGTTTTTCTGTTGTGCCTTTCTTTTGCTCAGCACTGAAGACCATCTTGTGCATCTAGCGTTAGCTTGCAGTTTCTGTCTGTCTGTCGGGGCCATGGTTGGTTATTCGTCGTCATATTCGGTCGTGATTCGTATCGTATGTGCGTGGGTGGAATCCATGGAAAATTCGCTTTCGTGTTCTGAGGACATTTGCTATCCTACTCTGGGAACCGCATTGGTACCTCGACAGTTGACATGCGAAGAGTGCTGCAGGTCGTGCCAGAAAAGTACTTTGTGAACAAGTACCCTATAAGAAAGTAACCCATCATGAGTTATGTGCCCCAGTTTTTGAAGTCTAACCCTGCGTAAATAGTCCTCTCAAAGTCAAAGGGCATTGTTAGCCCATTCCACGCCCAGAAAATGGTTCGATTTAATTGAAGAATAATAATCCCTTAGATCAATGGAAATTTAACCAATGGAAAATATGATTCTTCTCCTGCTCACAGATGCATCCAAGGATGCATCGTGCAACTGACAAAAGATGCCGTTTGACATGCAGGTGCACATTGAGTAAGCGGGTCCTTTTTTATTCTGTGCATGGCTTTATTATTGTGCTTAACGGTTGTATCGCTTCGCGAACGCAGTTTCCATTCGCTCTCGGTAGCTGCTCACCTCTTAACAGGAGAGACTTTGAGTCACTCGGAGAGACTTTGAGAGACTTTTAGTCACTCGGAGAGACTTTGAGAGACTTTTAGTCACTCGGAGAGAGAGACCCTGAGTCTCTTCAGCCAATAAGGCCGCGTGCGACGGCGGTCCTGTCGGGTCCTCTGATCCTCCTCGGCCACGCGCGGACTGACCTTTCTGATTGGCGAGCGCAGCAGTTTGGAGGTCCTCGAGTGTGTCGCCGTGGGTGACGTCAATGCGACCATAACACAGACCCGCTCACGCACACACACACACACACGCACACACTCAGTCACACACGCACTCCTTTCGGAGAAGCACGCATGTCCCTTTGATCTCCTCCCGCACCACTCTCTCTGATCGCACCCCCATCCCCAGCACACACACGGTAAAAACCGGTAAAAACGATGTCTCGTTTTTTGAGGGGAAAGGGAAAACTTTGAGGATCTCCCTTGATTTGAGGGAAAACCCTCAGATTTCGAGGAAGTCTCTTTAAAAAAATGATTTTTCCTCATTTTTTGAGGAGATTCCTCATAATCTGAGGCGAGATCGGAAGAGATTTCCTCAAATATGGGAGTTCCTCAAAGTTTTCCCTTTTCCTTAAAAAAAATGAGACATTGTTTTTACCGTGCACCCTCTCTCGCACGCTGCTCCATACTGCCCCCCCTCTCTCTCTTCCCCCTTCTCTCATTTTCTCTCCCTCATCTCCTACCCATCATTTCTTCCTCTCTCTCTCTCTCTCAGCGGCATTTTGTTGCGGGACTTATTGCGAGTCTCGAGGCGAGTCCTTTTAATGCGAACAAAGTAAACTCATTGAAATATCTGTCTCTCACTTACTATCGCTCTCTCTCGCTCTCTCGCTCTCTTTCGCTGCCATCTCCCCTCCCCGCCCACGAGCGCGAGGGAGACGGTGGCAGTGGTATTGCGATCAGCTGATATGTGTGTCACCCGCGTGTACGAGTGAGTGGCCACCGCCTGCGCCGAGCCTGCGCCCGCGGTGGTCTCTCTGAGGCTCTCTGCCGGCCGGTGCTCCGCTCCGCCCTGTTCTGCCTATCAGCATCGCGCTGCCGCCCGCACACCGCCGTCAGAGGCCCAAGTGAGACGGTCGCGCAGTGCGAGAGCCGGACGAGCGAGAGAGCTCAGTGCGAGAGCGCTTTCGCGTTTGAGGTAAAGAGAGTGACAGAGGCGGGGTGTCGGAAGGCCGTTGTAGTGGCAGTAAAGGCGGGCAGGCGTTTGTGTTAGTGTGTGCGTGATAGTTTCTTTTTGCGAATATTTCAAGTGCATCTCAAATTGTGGATTTTAGTGACGAGAATGTGTGTGATCGACTTTTAAACCACCTAGTCTACTGTAAAAAGGGAATCGTGTGACATTCTACGTCATTGGAATTTTTTATCATATTTTCTTCTTTAGGAAAAAAAGAATCTTTGTGTTTATTATTATTATGAGTTACGATTAATTTTGCGAACCATTTGGAATACATTTTGCTTTAAAGAATCTGTATGTTTTCCAACTGATTGCTCTGGAAAGCCATGGAAACCCACCAATGGGCATTGCATGCTGTATGTATACGTTATATGCTCACTGTATGTCTAACGTGTGCATGGGCATGCCCACTGTCTATTGTATGCATAGGAATCGTCCAGAAAGTACGTCCGTTTTCCTTCAGATTCTTTCAGAAAATTACCTGGTGGGGAGCCTGGCGCCTGCGAGACTCGGGGTAGGCCACCCCGCAGTACACGCATGCGCTGAAGGCGAGATGTTGCCTACCTACCAGGCGTTATGAGAGCCTGCATGCATCGCCGCCGTGAGCGCAAGCGCAAGGGGTTGGCTCAGGGAAAGACGCTTTTCAAAACGTTTTCGTCAGCTTTTCCACTTTCCAGAGCGTCCTTACATCTTCGCACTGAAACCATCCGTCTGAGGGTGGATTCGACTGCGATTGTATCCTTGAATATCTCGAAATATTGAATAGAGCATAAAAGTGTCCGCTCACAGCTTTTCTCGTGCATATACATCCTGAATTTCGGACAAAGTTTTAAAATGTGTTCGCTGGCAAATTAAATGGCGCCAGGGTCAAGTTGGTTATCGCGAGGGCGTGGCAGCGGGGGGCGGGAGAGAGGGGTCAGGTGGCGATAGGTCAGAGCCAGATAGGAGTGAGTGCCTCGCTGCGGAGCTTGTTATGACGTCCCTTTTAAGAACTTTTATCATAATTGTTGGTGAATTTTTCTCTGTCTATCTGAATGCGCAGATTTTGCGCGACTTCTTTGTGTTCTTTTCTCGTTGAACTGTCAAACTAACCGCGCGGTGTGTGTTTGTTTTTGCAGACTCGTCGCACAAGGAGGCCGACGTCGACACGGAGGACGTTAGCAGCGCGGGCAGCAGCTTCGAGACCATCAACATGGAGGGCGAGACCGAGGGGGAGAGGCACCCCGTCAACTTCATCGTCGGCGAGGAGGACGAGGTGAGAGCGGTCGTCATGCACTTGCAAGCAGTGTGCGAAATCCTCTGTTGAACACGTCCCAATTGTCACACAGTAGGCGGCCAATCTTAAGGAAGAGTTCGACATGGGAGTGGCACACTTTCAAAGTGCGCAGCTAATGAGTTGAACACACTTGGAAATGCCCAACCCTAACAACAGAGTTCAATAACAATTAGAAGTTAGAAGTATGCAGTTACACACTTCGTATCGGTGTAGGTGTGGGTTGTTGACCTTCTCGCGGCTCTTCGTTTGAGGGGTTGAGGGGTTAAATCCTTTTTAACACAAAATTTACTATAATCCTATAATCCAATCTATAATGTTATTCTCAAGCAAATCCTACAAAACTTCCAAAACCTTTATAACTGTGTGACTATTGCGAATACAACCCCGTGTGACATTGCCTTCTGAGGGGTACTTTTGTTACGGTACGCTTCTAGCCCCGAACTCAATCTAGAGGGCCGTGAATAAAATGACTCCCGCGCAATCATAAACTCTTGTGTTGAAATTGTACACTAAGGTTCATAAACCGGAATTGTTTCAGAATGGCGACATTACGGAGGCCGAGCACCGGGAGGGCGGCGACACCTTCCCGTCGTCGGCGTCCTTCACCTCCAACTCGGGCATGTCCAGCAACAGGAACTCGATGAGCAACATGGCAGAGCTGATCGAGCGCCGGCGCCGACTGAGGTGAGTCCCCTCCAAACTTTTATCCTCAATAATAGTAACAGAAATCGAAGGAAAAAAAAGTCGACAAAAATTTGTTGACAGCCGGTGTATATAGGCTGTGGGTCCCATGGGTTGTGTGCGATGAAGTGCGAAGTGCGCGCGAGTGAGTTCGATCGAGAATCAATTATCTTTCTATCCTCTCTCCCTCCCTCTCTCCCTCTCTCCCTCTCCTTCCTCCCTCTCCTTCCTCCCTCTCCTTCCTCCCTCTCCTTCCTCCCTCTCCTTCCTTCCTCTCCTTCCTCCCTCTCCTTCCTCCCTCTCTCGCTCTCTCGCTCTCGTTCCACCCCATGGCTCCCCCACTGGAGGGGGCGTACCGTTCGGGGTTATCGGGCCCCGCTTGTGGGCCAACGCGTTATGTAAGCGTTAACGGCGTAAGGCGTAAGCCTTGTCGCCTTTATCGTCGTTACGTTGTGGGCCGTGACGTTTGGTACCTCGCCGGCTGACGTTTACTGTACACCCCTGTGTTGTACTTTTGTATAACCTCCACCCCCTTCTTAGCACCTTTATCTTTCCTGCCCTTTGTGACTTCCATCTTACTGTAAGATTTCGGAGCTAATGTTTATTGGCTGTGCAGATAAAAGTTTTTTGCATTGTCGCTTGACCTAATGATCTTCTACTTTGTTTTGTTCTTTGCCTCGTATACTTTGTGTCGTGCTGCTACCGGGTTATCGTCTTTTGTATCTGCCTAGAGCGGACAGGGTGGGCTGGTGAGTGACTTAAGCGTGCGCACCTTTGCACCTCGGTGTGCCCACTGCCCTCTACTCACCACCACACGCGTTGCCCACTAGGCACGTTGCTCACCATACGCCGATGTGCATCTCACGTGTTGCTCACCACACGTGTTGCTCGCTACTCTCGTTGATCACCACACACCACACGTGTTGCTCACCTCATGTGTTGCTCACCAGGCGTGGTGCTCACTAGACGGACAGCTCACCATCTAAAGTCGCGCTATCGGCACGCTGCGATCATATAGTTCGATTTACGCACCAAAGCGGTTTCTAGTTTTCTCCCTAGAGTCCAGGTTTCCTAGTTTTCGTACTTTACCCGCGAAGGAGAAGGAACGGAGCGATTCCACCGGTCTCTTATCATGTCTCGGCGTTGTTCTTTGATTTTCCGACGCCTAAACATCGGAACGAGCCTCGCCGCTCCAGCCCTGTGAGCGCCCTCGCCCTCCTCTCTGGCGGCCAGTTCGCCGCCGCGCTTCGTACTCTGGCGGGCCTGGCGGCGGCGGGCGGGGATCTCACCGGCAGTGGCGGGGATAGCCTCCGGTCGCAGCTCGCCAGAGCTCCGCCAGAGCTCCGCCAGAGCTCCGCCAGAGGGCGCTCATTGAGCAGCGGCGCGACTCTGTCCAAACTCTTACACGGTAGGATGGGAGGCCTATGCTGCCGGCGCCTGCGAGCCCGTGGGCCCGGCGGGTCCCAACAACAGCAGAGGGCAGAGCGACCGCCTGGCGCGGACAGAGTCGCATAGACAGCAGCTCTATCGGATCGGGCTGGGCGGACAGAGTCTAAGACAGTGTCTTTACCGGCGGACAGAGTCGTAGAGAGCGGCTCTATCGGGCGGACAGAGTCGTAGGCAGCAGCTCCATCGGGCGGACAGAGTCGTAGACAGCGGCTCTATCGGGCGGACAGAGTCGTAGACAGC